CATATATTTATTTTACGAAGGTTTCGGGCCCTTTACATATATCAACGTGTCTGTACCATCAAATGTCTAATATTAATGCAAACCACCTTAGTTTACATTATGGTTACAAATATTATTAGTTAAATTAAGTTAAAACAGCTACCAGCTACAGGTGATTTCTGAAAAATCAGCAATGCTGAGTCTTTAACCTTTTTGTCCACATCACTTAATTGTTTTTTTGTATTCGTTATTTAAGTATTGTGTTTCTTATGTTTTGTGGAGAAATAAATACCTTTTATTATTATCTTTTAATTTAATTTTTAAATTGTCCAAAGAAACATTTCAATTTATTCTACATGCATGTTTTACAAATTATTGTATATTTTGATTTTTTTGTATTCATTTAGACCCGAACAAATAGTTTAATTTCCTATGTGAAACAATCGCAAAAACCTAAGAATTCGATTTGTTAGATAATTCTATGATATTTGTTACAGGTATATGAAAACCAATTCAACGTAACACAAAGTATAAGTTTCGTCTATAAAGTAGCTTGAATGTACCCACTATCAAGTTACAAAACACCGATTGCGATAGCATAAAGTTTACTTCACACACCTTGCCTTGTTCTTAAAAAATAAAAAATAAAAAAGGATTCTTTATAATTACGCGCGTGGTGTATCTAGCTTCAAGATTTCACCGATGTCTTTATTGGCCCAGATTGCATATTTATTTACAAGGCCCATTTAAATTATATGCTTAAGGAATTTGTTTTTTTCACTTTGGAACATTTTCGATCATAAATTTTTATGCGAGTAATCGCTTAGCAATCGAGTATTAAAATTACGATGAATAATAAAAAAGTCATCAGTTAGTCAATAAGTTGTTTTTAAATTGTATTTTTTTTTGTTTTTCCTACTAGCTAGTTCCGTGTATGTCTTTATAAAGTCAGTAGAACTAAAATGGTGTCGTATCTCTTCTATTTAGGTAGTGCGTGCGTATTAGATAACATTAGCTTTTGGATAACATTTGAACTTTTTATTTGAAATAGTAATAAATAATATAATGTTACACAACATTACATACGTTGCTCCGATCCCAAAATAAGTAACTAAAGCAAAGTTGTTTTGGAAATTGGGAACAACCACGGTACCACAAACACCCAGACACAAAAAAATATAGAAAGGTTTTCTACATTGATCCAACCAGGGATCGAACCCGGAACCTCAGAGATGGTGATATCATGAAAAGCGGTGAGCAAGACACTCGACTACGGAGGTCGCCTGTAGTTTATTACAAGACTCTCGTAGAGATTATCAAAGAGAAGTTAAATTGTCAAACTGGTCGTACCGAGTATCGAGTCCTGGACATCCTCATCTGGAGTCCACAGTGAGTTTAACAGTCTTTACGGAATTGATAAATAATACTGTCAATTCCATATTTGTAAACTGTTTCGGTCTGTCGAGTAAAATAAAAAATGTGTAAGAAGTAAACCGTCTACAACGGCGATAGAGCGTAGCACGGTATAATTAGTCTATAAACAGTAGCGCCGACGGCAGCGTGAGCGCATGAATCTAAACACACGTAATTACAGATCCAATATCTACATTCTGAAGGCAAGTGGGAGTAGCCTTTTTTTCGGTGAGGTGTTGAAAGTTCTTTATTTTTATGTCTAGCATTTTGGATTATGCTTGTACTAAATGGATTGGTGATCAGGTGGACATGGTAGCCTTTGAATGCAGTTGATCCATTAGTCAATCCCTTGGGGACGATTCAGGACATAGTTTACCATGTTGCTGTAAATTTTATGCAACTTATTTATTGAGATTTTTTGTGAAATAACTCCACTAGTTATGTTATCATTATGAATACAAAGATCCAACACACAGAAAAAAAATATTTCATTTTAATTACCAAAAAAAATTATGTAAATTGCTTAAGAGACTAGCTAATAGTATTTTGCAGAGTTCGATGTGATAATTGTCATAAAAATTAACACGATAATTACCTTGGATTAATATATCTTAATATTTATAAAATATATTAGAACAGTAAAATGCTATCGCAAGCAATATTGTGTCATGTACACACATCAGAGATACACGCATCCAAACGTGTCAAATGTCAATCGCAAACCGAATCGTTTTCTCAATGATCTTTTTTCGTGTTTATTTAGTTTTCTCACATTATAATTTTTTTTAAAAGAGACAAAAGTCAGCATTGATAAGTTAATTATCAAAGAAAATAAATATCATGATAATTTTTATTCCATGATATTTTGTATTCCGCGAGTTTGTTTTAACATTTTACGCCAGTTAATGAAAACTCGTTTACGACGTATAAAGAAAATGAAACTGCTATTCATGTCATTTCATAACGAACTGATTAACTGAATAAGTAGTCATATAAATAAATCATCAATAACAGAGAACAGAAAAACGCTTTTAATCATTGTCTCGCGAGGTAAGTTGCGAATGCGAGAACATGATCTTAATTGCTATCAGCTTACTCTATTTTTTACCTTGTTCACTTAATGAACTATGTACTTTTTGAAAGAACCAGTGCAAAGGATCTATATTCCGTTAGGAATTATTAATATCATTTTTTTAAGCAAGCCGTTAGGCTTGCTTAAAAAAATAATTGAACGGAAGATGCCTTGCATTTCATCGTTTGTTGCGAACATCGGTATACTTTCTTCAAATGTCTTCACATCGCTACTGTAGGCAGGTAATTTGTAAGCGATTATCACTTATTACATGTTTCATAACATGGTATAACGTTTTATTCTCCTCTGGATATTGCGGAGCGGTTTTACGCTCCAATAAAATCATATTGTGGTTAAAAACTTGTAACCGGTGATAGTCGTAAAGAACCATGAACGTCATACAATTTAGGTAACTTGTAGTTATAAAAAAGAACATACATTATCACTGGCATTATCGCACTTGACAACTAATATGGTTATGTCAAAAATTGCGTTATATTAAATCCTTAGAGGATGGAAAAAAATAAAAGATTATATCTCAGAAATTGCGGTATATGAAGTCGCACAGGACGGAAGGCACTGTCACTAAACTGCTTTCGTGGCCGAACGGAGAAATATTTATGTATTTTATTTATAATATCAAGTGACAGGACGAACAAGTTGTGCGCATGGTGTTAAGTAACATGTCTGTCCTTAACAGTTGCAGTGCCATTCAGAGCTTTAAACCGCAAAGATCTCAGGGGCACTGCGCCCGTCCTCCTGAGCCATAAGTTGTTCACTAGCAGCCTTGCCCTTCAAAACCGGAATGCAATAATGCTCTCATTACTGCTTGGCGGAAGAAATAGGTAAGGTGGCAGTACTTCCCTGGACGAACTCTTTCACAAGGAGCCCTGCTATATGTTGCGCTATTACTCTTTGTTAAGAAATGAAACCATTACGCATTGGTGAACCGGTTTCGATGATTCTTTTTTTGTTGATTTTGTTGAAAAGGAGGTACCTCAGTAATGATCCCATTCAAATTCTAAGAACATATTTCATTTCTAAAGGTGGCAAATGATAGTAATCTGATTCCAAAAACTAGTAATAGTAATCTTATTACGCTGCATCAAAGCTCATTGTCGCATTTTTGTTGCCTGCAATGTGACCATTTGACCCTTTTCCGACATGGTAGTCACCAGTACCAGTACACCATGTGAAAGTGTTCGTCCAGAGAAGTACTGTCACCTTGCCTACTTCTGCCGCCGAGCTGTAATGTGAGCGTTCCGGTTTTGAAGGGTATGGGCGCTGGTGAAATTACAGGCAGGTGTCAGGGTGACGGGCGCAGTGGCAGAGCCTCTCAGATCTTTGTGATTTAAAGGTACAAGTGACATTGCAGCTGTTATAGACAGACGTAATTATCTCCGAAACACTGCCTAAAATACCCGAATTAATTCAGAAAATTTCATTTCCCAATCAGAATCGAACGCGGGACCTCCTCATCCAGCGCCCACAGTGCAAACTGGTGAGTCACCTAGGCGAGGTCGACAATCGATAATGAATCATATTTAAGGAAAGTATATATGTATATATCATTAAGAAAAATACATAAATAAACCAAATATATAATGGTTTTTCACGTGTATACATTTAGTTGTGTAAACATAATCTTTATTTAATTTAAGAGGCCATACTACCTCAGCTCGAATTCAATTTCTTTCCGTACTAATACGGTTCGTTTTGCTTGGGTCGAGCGGCAGGGACGCTGCCTTTATTTCAGAATTTATTTTTTTTACAAACGAAATTAAAGCTAGTTGAAATGTATATCGTATACTTACTTATACGTGTTCTATTCAGTTCAGTTGATATTAAAAAAAAAAATCATTGGTGTATGTGAAGTACATATTGAATACAGCGGTTTTCTTGTAAAATTTCGTGGTAAGTTTGTGTTTATTTCTATCGTGAAAATTGATAGGAATCGTGTTTTTACACTGTGTAGTAATCAGTGTATATCCTATATGTTTTTCCCAAAGTGATTGGTTCAAAACTTTCACTGTTATGCGGAAACAACCAAAGCCATTTGAGGTTGTATAAACTCTTAATGCTTATTTTTATAGAAAGAATACTTTTAGTTAATCTTCTGTTAATTTCGGTTTAATGTAGCAAATAGGGTACACAGGTTTTGTTAGTTTTTGTACTCAATTGACGATGTGACCATCAGTGGAGTGTAAGGATGTTTTGGACCCAAAAGTACAATGGTGTAAATAAATCCCTGCATACTATTCGAATAATTACATTAAACAAAACTTTGGAAAGACTATCTATAACCATCATTATAATCACCAGTACTATCATCGTCATCAACCACAGTATCGTCACCAGTTTACTGCTATCCACTGCTGCACATAAGCGAGAAGTCAATATTGTCACAGCAGAACCAATTCAGAAAAGATCCTCTTCTACATTAGTTCAAACGGGAATTGAGTCCGAATCTCTTGCTATAGCACTCACAGTACATAACCCGGGTCGGTTATTAGGTCCTCTAAACAACTATAGTTACCTTGAAAACTAGCCAATATCCTAACATATCGCTGCGATGAGCGGTCGTCATAGAAGGCAGAGTACAGAGACACGCTCGTGCCAGCAACATTCTGCCAGGATGAATCAGGAATTTCGTTTGGGTTCCAGGTTCGGTTCTGAAAACAAAACACAACATATCACATAAAACAAAATTTAATAAAGAAATTTTAATTACTCGTGTTTTCTAAACAGATTTGTAGAGTCGTCAACTAGTATTTATTTGGTCTGTGGTCGTCACGCACTTTGTAGATAATAAAAATATGTAGGTATTAGGACGCGTTCCCACTATGTCGTCACGTTTTATTATAGGTTGGACGACTGTCGTGTCTAGCCTGTTTCCATATCACGACTACCTGTCGTTGACGATTTTGTATCTTTGAATGACTGTCGTGACTAGCTGTTCCCACTAGATCGTGACGACAATTTATCGTTTCACTACAGCCTCCTTGCCCATCTCTGGCTACGGCCCAACAACGCTACTGCAAAGCGAGCAGAGGGCGCGGGGTGTGAGAGTTGAGGACAGGGAGCAGAATACGTGCGGACAGCGATAAATAAAACGTGACGACAATAGGAGCTGCGACAATCTGTCGTCACGTTTTTATCGTGACGTTTTTTTATCGTCTGACGACTGTCGTTCTAGCTGTTCCCACTGTGACGACAGTTTGTCGTTGTAACGATAAAAAATCGTGAACGACAGTTAATCGTGTCGTGCTAGATGTGAACAACTTCATTTAAACATACAAGGCACGACACTGTAAAGTTCACGACAATCTGTCGTCACGACATAGTGGGAACGCGCCCTTAGGTGAAACTATAATACTTTTTATATTAAACGATTTTTGGCTTTGTACTTTGGACCAAAGACCATCTTATCGTAAGTGATTATAGAGTTGAATTCTTCTTGTCGTTCATGACGATACTTCTTTTATTTTATAATTATACATACTTTGAATAACAAGTTGCGTATTTCTCTCGATTGCGCAGTCCATGGCAATGTTAAGGTCGGATAAGTATTTTGGGAACGAGGGGCTCATCAGTAACTGCTTGAGTTCGACTATCATTCCTGTACCTCCATTTATATAACTTATTTCTGCAGCGACCTACCTTTGTTTTTTTTTTAGGATTCAACGACCCTTAAGAGAGCTACAGCAGATAATATCTTGGTGGTATTTGCACTTTAGAAGTAATGAAACCTGGTGACAGGGATTTATCTCCGTGAATAAAGTTTAATCTTAAATATCATGCGATGGACGTGCTGTTGTTCGTATAATAAATAAAAAGACTTTGCTGAAGGATCACTGTGGTATATATCAAATAAAGTAGCGCTGTGGCCCACCCACTCTAGCCATTACGACTCTAAACGTCAATGTGAACGGACGTGTCGCACGCGCACGTTGGTACTAACCTTACGTTGTTTTATTAAGCCATCCTGTACAAAGTAATGTAGACGTCACAGTCACCCGGAAAGGAACAAGATATAATATAGTCACTAATTGACATTTAATATAAACAACTTTATTATTGATACAAAGATCGAAGAAACAAAGAAAAGTTCCTTCAAAGCGACTGAAGTCGAACCAGCGTCTGTCGTTTCAACGTGGCTACCGCTCTATCACAGAGCTACGAGTCGAGAGTTTTAGCAGATATTTTTATTGGTTCTTTTAACGGCATTTTTGCCGGTTATAGGTTGGGGGAACTTTGAGGTGAAAACACGCTGGTTCGAATTCAGTCAGATCTTTGTATCAATAATAATAAAATAGTAACTACAATTTTTACAAACAATAAACCAAAATGGTAGTAAAAACATCACGACATCCAATAAAAAAAATGCAGCTATTGTACCTAAAAACGATTTCTAAAGCTACGTGTCGTTGTGTTACTTACTACTCGCCACTCTTTCTTTTTGAAGAGGCAATAGACTATAATAAAAGTGATATAGCGATTATAAAAAGAGCAGGTGAAAGTAGGTTTAACAGTGTAAAACTAGGTTTAATATAAAATAAAATGACGTGAACGTGACACCACGTACTAACGAAGCGATTCAAATTTAGTGTACCATTAAATTCCGTTGACAGTTACTGACCTGTTCACCTCATTTATAACATCCTAGTACATACTTTGTCAGCGATGAATAAAGAATACTTCACTCGACTACGGCGAACGAAAGAAGTTACGTAATTTTGTGTTGTGTTTTTGCCTATTAAGAGGGTATAGTCTTTATTTCATAGCTCAGCAGATTACAGTTGAATATATTGTCATATCGTTAAATTCTTCTGTTTATTCGTAAGGCAGATTCCCCAGAGAAGAACGAGCAAGAGACTTTAGGGGTTGCTCTTTGTAAAAAAACATTTGTACACATTTATCATTTATAATATTTATTTCTAATATCATAGATCGAGTCTAACTGCAAGAGCTAAACGAGAGGCCACAGATTTTTGTTATCCAAGTACGCAGAAGCTGTATAAATCATAGCATATATTTTTGTTTCGCTATAGTTTAAACTACGTGTGGCAAATTTTGAATATCAACCGGAATCCTATAGAAGTGTATAAATATATTGCCCCTTTAATGAATTTGTGATTGAAGACGACTGTCAATAACACCCAACTTTATTAATAATTATTAAAATATATTATTAATTATAATGACGCACACACTCAACCTACGTGAGTGTGTGCGTTATTATTATTAATGCTAGTAAACCCTGCGTCGCGGGTGCATGGACACACACATAGACAAACACAAATTACACCCAAACGCACGAGAGAAATAAATGTAGGCCATACAAATATTTCTCCCGGCCCGGGAATCGAACCTGGGACTTTTGCGTGGCAGTCCGGCATGGTAACCGTTCGGTAACGGAGGCAGTTATATTATGTCTGTCGCTATTTTTTATTAAAAAAATAATTTTCTTAACATGAATTACATTGTCATAAATATACTGTGACTCTGTTAATTCTTTGAAGTTGTCTCTATCATGAATATCGGTATACATAACATAAATATTCTTCTTCTTCTTCTTCTTAAAGTGCCTCTCCACTACTTGAGGTTGGCCGACAATATGGCAAATTTGTCCCTGTTCAAGGCCAAACGGAACAGTTGTTCTGCGCTCGTGACTCCGGTCCACTCCCTGCGTAACCATGACTTTTGACGTCTTCCGGCGCGTCCATATCATAAAAATATAATAAAAACTATACGAAGTCCCTTATATACATTTTGAAATGTATATAATACGGACATGTAGAGTAAATTAATGAAAGAATGTTGTCGAAACAGATTTTGAGTCGTCCAAGGCGAACTCACTATGACCAAATTAAAAACGTCTTAAAGAAAGGCCAGGTCAAGAATACCCATAACCGATGAGCATGTATAAAAGCATTCATGCATGCCTATGAGGCGAAAGATGTGCGTCTGGATCATAGTAAGTCTCAGTTGTGTCTGCCTACCCCGACAGGAAAAGGGTGTGATACGTATGTATGTATTTTGAATAAGATATTGTTTGTCTTATATACAATTGTATTAAAATCATATTCTATAGCTTCCTGAAGCCTTCTTCAAGTGGTATAAGCAGAAATCGGTCTTTTAATTCACCAACTTTACAAGGAGGAGGTTCTCAACTCGACTGTATTTTTACTGTGTATGTTACGCGATTACTCTCGTAATTATGAACCGATTTCGATGATTCGTTTTTTAGGGTAACTCGGTATTGGTCCCATTTAAATTTGAAGAAAATATTCCACCTCTAAGGGTGAATAACTAGGGGATGAATCAGGTTTCGCGCACTTTCTGTTTCCCAATTTCAACAAAACTTGCAAATAGATGTAATTCCAATACAAAAGTCGATAAGCAAACTTTTGTTGTCGTTTAATGAAAAGTAAAAGTTAATTATTTCGATTGACAACTCAGCAGCGAGGTTTTAAAAACTTTTTTCCGATTTTTTAACGTCTTTCTCATTGACTTTCGGTTTTCACGACCTGTGGTGATACGTTTGCGAATCCTGTATCTATACCTACCAGATCCGGTAACGGCGAATCGCTGAATAGCATATTCTTATAGATTTGCGCGAACATTGCGCAATTTTAGACATCTTTACCTGTGATTTAACTTGTTGTGTCTGCACATCTTGTTCTAAACTAAGTTCGTTTGTTTTAGGCATATTGTAACAATATCACTAAATGTACTAAACCAAAACACCAAAACGCATTGGACAACTAGGTGTGTATACACAACGAGCTATAGTAGCGAACTGAGAAAAAATATAAAAATGGTAAAATATCTTTTATTTTGCACCAGATGTTTTATAGCCAGTTGCGGTGTGGGAGTCATTGTTTTTAAACCTTTAAGATGCGGAAAAAATAATCCTTATACAGTAGAGCCTGTTTTCTGCAATGCTTATTGGGCACGTTCGGAATTCTAAGGGTGCTCAACACTTCTGACCAAGGCTCTATGTTGATGCAGACACATTTTAGTAGAATTTAGAGATTTTTAATTCTTCCACTAGATTAATTTTAAATATGTATGTATTTTTATTTATTTATAATTTTAAGTAGATTTATTGAGTTAAAGTACAGTGTTTAACAAAGTAATTAATTAATCAACATTGCCCCGCATTAGGGAAACCCTACAACCCTAAAACACATACAACCTCAAATTACACCCAAACTCACGTGGGAAATAAATATACGCCATACAAATATTTCTCCCGGCCCGGGAATCGGATCTGAGCCTTCTGCGTGGCAGTCGGCATGGCAACCGTTCGGCCATGGAGGCAGTTAATTAATTCCTATCCTTTTGAGGGAAATGTTAGTTGTCAAAGTGAAAACAATAGAGCGGGACACTGAGTATCGATTCGAGACGTCAATAGTGCTGCGCCGCACGCGTTGTTCTGTTGATCTTATCAATTCTTTACTGTACACAAGACAGTACGAATGGTGAACTTAATATCAATAAGCATTTTTTATCAGTCAACCGGAGAGCTTGGTTTAGAACAATTAACTTTGAATTAAGCTAAATTTAACAACAAATAGGATCAAAGTTTATAAATTATTAATATTATGATTTTAAATTTTTATTGAATTGATATTCAATTATTTTTTGTGAAATTACTCCACTAGTT